AACGCCAAAGCCATGGCAACCCCGATGAGCACGTCCGACCATCTGGACAAAGACGAAAAAGGTAAGGAAGTTGAGGTCAAAAAGTATCGAGGTATGATCGGATCCCTTCTTTATCTTACTGCTAGTAGGCCGGATATCATGTTTAGCGTATGCCTTTGCGCAAGGTATCAATCATGTCCGAAGGAATCGCACTTAACGGCGGTGAAATGGATCATGAAATACCTTGTAGGCACGGTTAACGTTGGACTGTGGTATCCTAAAGGCTCTTCGTGTCTTCTCGTTGGCTACTCCGACTCGAACTTTGCCGGTTGCAAATTGGACCGCAAAAGTACGAGTGGGACTTGCCATTTACTTGGTAGCTCTTTAGTTTCATGGTTTAGCAAAAAACAAGTCAGTGTTGCGTTATCCACAACCGAAGCGGAATACGTTGCCGCCGGTAGTTGTTGTGCTCAAATCCTTTGGATGAAGCAATAACTCCTGGACTATGGCCTTAGTATCAGTCACGTTCCTCTTCGTTGTGACAATACTAGCGCCATTAGCTTGACGAAGAACCGCGTTCTTCATTCAAGGACGAAACACATTGATATTAGGCACCATTTCATTAGAGATCATGTTCTCAAAGGTGATGTCGAAATTGAGTTTGTTGAAACACACAACCAATTAGCCGACATTTTCACAAAACCTTTAGAGAAAGAGGCGTTCTTCCGCATTCGTAGCGAACTCGGAATCCTTGACTCCACGATGATCTAATTTGTGCATTTTATCATTCTTTTATTGTTACTGGAACGTTTACTAACTTGAGCGTCGGAGGGTTTTCTAACTCTTTTTTGCAGGGACGGCTCGAAGTGAAGAATTCTGGAAATCAGGGGGAACCAGCGATGGGTGGACTATACCATCGCTGGGAGGGAAGTTTCTTTTTTTTCCAGAACCCCTCTTCCCATCGATGGGTGCTTGTTCCCATCGATGGGTAATTGACTCTATTTTTTTAAACCTTTAACGGATTTCCAGAAACACCTTACCCATCGATGGGTATTTCATCCCATCGCTGGGTGACGGACTTTTGTCAAAAACACTTTTTCCAGAACCTCCCCTCCCATTGATGGGAACTGTCTCCCATCGCTGGGTGGTTGACACTTCTTTTTTAAACGTTTTAACAGATTTCCAGTAGCCACCCTCCCATCGATGGGTGAGTGTGACCATCGATGGGAAGGCAGCCTTACTTTCTCCTTCGCTTTCCAGTGTCGACCTTCCCATCGATGGGAAGACCTACCCATCGCTGGGAAGTCTGCTGCAAATTCAAATTTTTTAACCGTTGGACACCCCATTTATTGCCCAACAGCTATGTTTTTTGAATCCAAACGGCCAAATCTTCTTGTTCCTATATATATCCACCATATTTGTTCATTCTAATACACCATTAACACAATAATTTCATTCCTTGATCCTAATCTCAATACTTCATCTTCTTTTATTCAAAAACGCTGCTATGGCCGGAGGAAAATCCAGGAGCAAGGCCTCCAAGAAGAAGACCGCCGCCGAGGCTACAAGCTCTGCACCTCAACCCTTCCCGTACCTGGACGGATCCTTCTTGGAGTTCGGGTCGGAAGAGGAACTCTCTCGCTTCATCACCTATTTCGCCAAGCGCCCCATCTCTCCGCCAAGGGTGCTACCCGAGCCATACCCTCAACAGAAGGGTTACTACGACCTTGACAATCAACTCAAGGAGTCGGGTCTGTGGCCCTCGTTTTCGTACTAAAGCCGTGTTTGTTATTTATGACAGGTTTTGATAATGCCAAACCGCTGTGATCAAGTCAAACTTTGAATATACAAGGCGAATAAGGAAGACAAGAACAAGAGCTAAAAGAAGACCAAGAACGAAGACCTTAGTCTTAGTGTCGTTGAGTCGGTCTTCATTGTGATCAAGACCGACCCAATCTTTACACCTTGGCTCTTTAGGCTAAAAACCTTCATTGCACTTTTTAAATCATAAAAATGTTTTTCAAACATGTTTAAGTCATTAAAAACACTTGGTGTTCGCCCAAACCAAAAACCAAGCCATCCGGCGTTCGGGTTTCAGAAACCGGCGTTCGGCTCTCGGTTATCGGCTATGGTTTTTGGCGTCCGAACCAAACAAGTGGTTTTCAACTTTTTTATGATTGGTTTTTACTCTTTGGCATGTTTAAACGGTTCTCCAACAAAACCTTGAAAACCATCTTTCGCTTTTGGTCGTTTGACAAAAATCATTCAAAACAGCATAAACTTGGCTAGCCGTGGTTTTCACTCAAATGACGTGGTTTTAAAGTGTCTTACTTGATTTCTTAGCCAAATACATCAAATAAGTGTTTTAAACACTTGGTTTTTATTTTGGAGAACTTTGAATTTTTCGGTCGGGTTTCGCATCGGTTGGCTAGGCCGTGGTTAAGGCAAAAACCATGGGTTCTTGACTAACCACCCACCCAGCGATGGGAAGATCTTCCCATCGATGGGTAAGCGG